ATATAGGCGGAGCACCCCTTTTCTGACGTTAGAAAAATTCAAATCTGTATCAGCTCCGTTGCAGAGAGAGGGTTGTGTTTTCTGACACTTGGTGAGTTCCCTGACACACCGGGACACATATTCATGTATAAAAGACGTACAAAAGTGCATTTTGCATGATAGGTCCCCTTTAACTAATGAGTCCAACGGCATCATGCCGGTTCTGATTCTGATTAACCTGGGCTGGGAACAGTGGTGGGAACACTGAAAAAGCTGAAAGGTTGATTTTAATTAAATGTATTATGTCAACAGATTTCACATAACTGTAGTAGGTCAGTTGAAAGCAATAATATTAAGTTTAAATAAACAATATGGGTTCAACCTAATACATTTAATTAAAGTCAACGTTTCAATTTGCTCAGAGTAGTAACAAAGTACATTTACACAAGTATGGTAGTTAAGTACAATTTTGAGGTACTGAGTATTCTCAGTTTATGCTACATTAAGACTTTAATAAACTACAATTTATTTGACAGCTTTTAGTTGCAGTTACTTTTTAGGTTTAGATTATTAGCTAATACAAAATATAAATCAATTATTAAATAAAAAAAAGTATTTTTATTAAGTATTTTTGAAATTAAGTATTTCTACTTTTACTTAAAGTTGTAGTATGTAAGTTTGAGAAACCGGCTCGAGATACACTTTTTGTTATATTCCATGGAATGCTCTTAACATCCAGATAGCAATGAATATCTGAAGTGCTTTGACAACAAATCCATACAAAAAAGTCACCTGTGGAAGCCTTAGTACTGTAAAAAGCACGACCAATCATTTTAGCCGGCCCGGCTAAAATAACTGGATGGCCTACCTGCCTGTCAGCCTCCCATCGGGGCACAAATTTATCTCGTGCCCTCATTGGTCATGTGCGCGTTCGTGTGTTGGAGGAGGGGCTCTGTAAGGAAGTGGCAGATTTTTTCCGGCTGTGTATTTTCAATTTCTAGCGCACTCAAGCTGGTTTCTCCCAAATTACCTAGCCCACCTTTAAGTACATTACTTAAGTAAATGTACTTCCCACCTCCGTCAAATGCTACCTAAACTGAAGACCTTTCAACCAGCGTCAGGGATAATTTACAAATGTTAGCAAAAAAACTGAGTACTTCTTCCACCGCTGGCTGGGAACGACTAGATAAACCCATCACTGCTGATCCTGAACTAAATCTAAACAGCCAAAAACCTGCATGCACTGTCTGAAGCTGCAGCAACTCTGCAGATTACAGGCTGAATCAGCGGATAGAAAAACTGTTTCAGCGATGTGAATGCGGTATTTCACATGAAGTAAAAGTCATTCTAGGACAAATATGTCTCTACGCGCAGCACATAATCTGATTAATGATGCAGAGAAGATTATACAACATGTGGAAGAGCATACTGAATAAAAATAGAGCTTTATTCATGTAGCCTACAGTACCTCAAACATGATTTGATCGTGTAAATCATGAAACATGATAAAAGGGACAGTTTGTAAAAATAGTTCTCATGAGAACATGGGATTTAGTCAGATATGATACGTGGACCAATTGGTGCTTCATTTGTATGTTTCCAACCTGAAACAAAATCACTGATTATTCAACCTCTCAATTTATTCCATTATCCTAAATTCATATTTGATGTGTTTGTCTCTCATACATAGGCCCTGTGGCTGAATGTGCACTCAGAGATATGGGTATTTTATTGAATAATATGTGATGTTCTACAGACTGAACAAAACAGTCTCTTTGCTGAATATTGGCGCTGTGCAATTTGAAATTGTAATTACACAGTGAAATGTAAAACTCTGGTGCTTTGAGGACTTCCTGCACTGAGTCATCTTAAAAAACAGGTGTTTTTATTATGTCTCTAACCACTGCATATGTCCAACCTACTTTAAAGGGGACCTATCATGCAAAATGCACTTTTGTACGTCTTTTATACATGAATATGTGTTCCCGGTGTGTCAGGGAACTCACCAAGTGTCAGAAAATACAACCCTCTCTCTTTTCCTCTATACCCAAATCTCTAAAAAAGGGGCTGCAACGGATCTGGTACAGACTGATCCAGATTAGAATTATTTTCTACATCACAGAAGGGGTGCTCCGCCTATATGGCCAACTCTCCACCTATCAGGGGAATGTGGGGTTGGGCCACGGCCGGCCATTGCCGCTCGAAACTGCTGGAGACGCTGTATTACATATGCCAGGCCTGTAAGTGGCGCTGTAGTCTGCCACAAAAGCAGCGAAGAAGACTTCCCGCGCATGGTTGCCATGGTTGCCCTTCTGTTTATTCTCCGCTGTGGCTCTTTTTCTCCCTCCCAGAGGCAAGCGTTTGCTCCTGCTGCTGTTATTCATTGCAATCCCTCCCTCGCTGTAATTCTCTCCGGTAGTCCACCAGCAGATGACAAACACCCACCTTTCCGCCTCTTCCAAGGAACGAGGGGACCGTGCGGCAGAGTTTCAGTTAGATTTTTTTTCGCCGGTCAACATGTCCGTTAAAGTTTAAATCTTCCGGACAAAATTAGAAAAGTGCCGGTCAAAGGTCTTCTTTGTTATTTATTGAGGTTTAAAACAAATGAATAATGACTCTATATAATCATATATAAGAATAAAACACGGAGGACGGAGATCTCTTTTTGTCCCCCTCTTCTCCCCGCTGCAGCCTAGCAACTGATCTCAAAGCACGCTCCCCTCTCCTGCAGGGGGGCGTGGTCAGCTGCAGCTCACAGAATCAGCCCCCTGCAAAAACAGGGCTGGAAACAGCATATAGAGCGAAATGAGGCATGGCTAAAATGCAGGATCTGTTTGGTGTTTTGAAAAAAACAACTATATATACTTTATATAGGTATATAGGCCCTACAATATATTGTTCTAATATAGCATGATAGGTCACCTTTAAGGTTTATAATGCAGGATTAATACTATTATTAGTGAAGTTGTTGCAGTAATTGCGAGGGCTTAGATCTGCAGATTAACACTCGGTATAATACAGCGGGTCATTCAGTATATATAGGTCAAAGAGAATCAGACTGACAGGGTCTGATGTAAAGAATGTGTTGAAGAATCTTGTTTGAGCAGAGAATCCTTCATTTTTAGCTCAAGATAAGAGCCACATGCAGAATGGTATTTCCCAGACCCTGCTGGTTGTTTGTATGATTATAAGATCTTAAAAGATCTTGAAGTGTTTAAGAAGTTAATCTGAGAGTTTAGCCTGCATGAATCACCAATTAATGCCCCAGTGATCCAATTTACCTTCCATGATATAAAGCTGTGTAATAAAGAGGAGGGACTGTGTGAATGTAGCAGAGGTCATTTTTTAATAAGTATTGGTCCCATGCATTGTTGTTGGTGCCATTCTACATGTAGTTTTCAACAGTTACTTTAGTTGTTCCACCGTCAGCCATTTGTTCTACTTACTGCAAAGAACTCACTTTGATCATCTTTGGTAACTGGGGAAAACCAACTCTTCCTGTATTGGTTGAGCAATGGTTGACGCACTTACTTTGTGCCATGAATGGAGGTTTAATATCCCAGGATCTTGTAGGGACTGACTGTATTGCGATGTGCAAGCCAATGTAAACACGGATTGTCCTTATTGTGCAGACATTACATTGTGCAATCAACATTTACTTCATGTCAATGAGTTAAAACAACAAATAAGGGGTGTTATGTCAGGAACTCGTTGACACATTAACTTCCTTAAGCTCTTAAAGAATATGTTGTTCTTTTAATTACTTTAACCTAGCCTATGTTTATTATTTAGATTTGAATGTTTTCTTTCCTTAAGCTGCATTCAAATCATAGGTGGTAAAACGACAACCAATCAGATGACAGCTGTATGTATTGGCGCAATCCAGCAGAGGAGAATTTAACCGATTGTTTTCCCTGTTTTACCGTGTTAGCATGCTAACATTTAAAATGTAGCACTAAGGACCAAGTACAGCTGCTGTGAATGAATGAAGTTATTGCTGATAAACCAACGTATTGGATAGATTTTCAGCAGATTTTTGTTCTTGATTGATGCTGAGCGGAACAATATGCCTGTATAACAAGTCATGGCAATTCATACGAATAGATATTTCAGTGGGGCCAGACTGACTCTTCCATCCATAGAGCCACAACATTAGCATTGTCATTTCTTCTTCTGTACACAGATATTTGAAGGATGAACACTTTTTTAAATGCATTAATGAGCCTCACTTTTGCACTGCCACAAAACTCACTATAGCACCGAATGTAGATTCATCCGCCGACAAGTGCACTATCTCTTCCTTCTTACGTTTTTTACTTCTAAGTACTTTAGTTCTTTGCTTCACTAAACTTTAAAAAGACTACATGTGATTGTAACCCAATATTTATGTAGTCTGTATGAACCTATGGGCTTACAGCTAAGTGCCACAGACATTGTAGGAAAGCTAGAAAATGTAGACTAACTCAATGTTTTTGTTTAGTTTTTTCAAAACTGTTTTATTTTTCCCGCAAGTGCTTCCATCAGTTGAACACAAGTCAACGTTTGTCAGTGATAACACAGTGGTGGAACCACTTTTACCTTTAAAAATATTTGTTCAATCAAAAATAGGTTACAATTGTTATAGATTTGACTTCAAAACACAGTACAACATTAAAATACTGTAATTGAATACACGAGTGATTATAATCCAACAATATAGGTACATTTTGTGATAATAATTCTAAACTTTTATTTTGAAAGCATGACATGAACCTGTAAAGGAGTTTATTCATATTGCAAATGTTACTTAAATAAATATCTAAATACTTTGTCCAACACTGAATGATATCTTCATTTAAAAATATCTCACAATATTTCTATTGAACAATAAATAACAACATTTATCCAGTATTCCAGTTAATGACATAAAGTCAAGAGGTAATCAATTATCATCTATATGAAAATACGCTTTTATCTTACATAATAAACTGACTGTGTACAGAAACTTCTAGCATCCTGCGCGGCTGCTCATCAGCACTCACCTGATAGGCCACCATGTTGAGGAAGTAGTTGTAGACGCCGCTGCGATTCATCCCCTGAGACGCCGACATTGTGCCACTAAACTGCTTTTCATCGGCCACTCTACATTTGGCCATCAACTTCCAGCACCAACAGGTTTTTGTTTTCTCAAGAGTGACTACAAAGAAGATGGCATCCTCAAAGAGGCCGGATCACAACTTCTCACAGGCCTGACGATGGAAGTAAAAAGTAAAAAGAGCCCAGCAGGTTACCTCACATACTCCTTATTCTGGATTAGCAGTAAATCTATTCCGGCCGGGCTCCTTGCGGCCGAAAGCCTCAGCATGAGCACCAAGTCCGGCTGCTCTCAGTCCAGCCTCACAGGGGAAGAAGTTGTTTTTTTGCCCATATCCTGCGTGCTTTGGCTCTGCGGCTGTGCTGGGTGCTGCCAGAAAAGAGGGAGAGGTGGTGGTGAATGCCCGCTGCCTTCCCCCATCCTACCCGGTCAGATTAGGCAAAGAGTGTGTGAGGAGGAGGAGGAGGAGGAGGAGGAGGAGGAGGAGGTGGACAGGGACCATGTGTCAACCCATCTGTCCCTCCCTTCCCTTCCCCCAGCGCCATACAAAGCCCACTGTACACCGGGATTGGGCGATACTCCTGTTTAATCCAGATTTACAATATTAAACAATTAACCCTGTGTGATTTCTAGATCTGACACCTCAAAGCCCCCTACCTAAAGACTCCCAACCAACACACACACACACACACACACACACACACACACACACACACACACACACACACACACACACACACACACACACACACACACACACACACACACACACACACACACACACACAGAGACCTCATCCCAGTCTGTGTGTCACTCAAACAAAGAGTCCATAATCCAAACAAGAGTTATCATGACAGCATTACGACAGAAACAGTGAGGTGGGTCAGCCTGGAGGTCTGTGATGGAATCCACTAAAGCAGGGTGCATTAGTGGATGTTATCACAGCTTGATGTTAGGGTCCAATAAGGCAACAGGTAGACAATAAAGATTAAGTTCGACCAACTATTTTAGTTTCAAATGATTTGCTCTTTTAATGCACTACTATCATTCAAAGTGTGTTTCATTTAGATTTAGAGGTTCACTGTTTTGTAATTAAAGGACATAATAAACACATTAAATGCAGTATTGGGGAATGTCTTTGACATTTGTCTGAAAACACTGAATAACTTCCTTATTCTTCTGAAAAAAGATATAATAGTTGGTAATGTAAAAGCAGTTTTGAGACTGTTTATTGTTATTCATAAAACTGAAGTTGTGTTCTGAATGGCACAGCCAGCAGCAGGGAAATGACATGATGTGTTGGTAGCTGTTGAAAAGCTCTGAGTGCTCGGGGAGAGAGTCAGATTAGATTTGGGTTAGTGTGTGCAGGGCGGAGCGTCGGGATAATCCCGTCATTGTCCATAGATGACCTTCAGCGGCACAGACGTCCTGTCAGTATCCCTCTCTAAAACGTCACTGACCAAGAGACTGATTGACCAATTAAACTGCATCTCAACTCTTACACACTTGCTCCTACCTGAGCTGTAGTAGATGCTGTGTGTGCCAGATGAAACACAGGTGAACAGATCTACAAACAATGGTAACAATAGTTGTTCATTCTTTGAATATTAGATCACTAAACTGACCTCTCAAAATATAGTTGTTGTCATGAACAGTCGAGGTAATACACATTTAGAAAGATATAAACAGTAGAACTACCCAAAGTAAAAGTTCTGCAAGATTTACAAAATATAAGCATGGAAATGTATTTAAAGTACCAAAAGTAACAATAATCGTTGATATAGCAGTATTATGTATCTGATATTACTGAATTAAGAATATTGATGCATTCATGTGTTCATCGCTTTAATGTTGCAGCTTATGTTTACTACTTTAAATTGGGACTTACATCTCGGGGATCATTAAAGTTTTATTCTAACATATTATTAGTAAAACAATTCATTTGGTGTTTATATTTTGTGTTATTAATATGAATCTGCAAAGTAATGAAAAGATGAAGTGGAAATGGAACGTGAAAATTGTAAAGTGATAATATGTGTTTTTCCACAAGTAGATACAAGTATTTATCTATATTATTTTATTGATAGTTAGATAATATTATGAAAGAAATGCGTATCAAAGGGAACATTTGTTGAGATCGGTAAAATCCCCTAATGAATACTGATCACTACAAATAATGTGGATTGAGTTGTTTACATGAATGTCGGAAGAAGCAGCCTGTGCCAAAAACCTGCTTAGTGTCTAAAAGAGAGACACAGTCACTTTCTAGGAACACAGTGTAACAACAAACATGAGGTTGAATAAGAGGAAAAGTCTGTTCAGGATCAGACTCTAAGTAGCTTGGCCTTACAAACCCAGTGAGGGATGTCCTCAGAGCACATGGACTACAACAGTAGCTTGAAGGCCACAACTCATAACACCTCTAGCTAGTACTCAAAGCATCACCTTGAAAAGCTTTTACCTCTAAGCTTGCATTTAATGAGAATCTGTGATCTATTTTGATAAGTCTGGAGCAACTGTCACATATCTTCAAAACTACATTTCAGCACTTGAAAAATATGCTTAGTGATATCAGTCGTAGGCTACTTTGCCCCTTAGATGCATTAGTGGGTCTTTTTGGACCCGGTGAGGTGGTTTTCTTGAAGTATCTTTGTAATTACATTTTTTTATCATTTCATATTCCAGCTATTCCTCAAAAAACATGTTTTGGATATCATGCCATTCACATCTTAAATTTAAATGTTATACACTTTAAGAAATTGTAGTTTTTGTATTTCTACCCCAAGCTTCCATAAGTGGGTCAAAAATGACCCGCATGCATTTTCTATGGGATCCTCTGGGAACCTTTGATTCTTATCACCTGTGGCTGTCAGGAATACATTCACTGTAGACCACACAGACTACATCACAGGTGACACCGCTCAGGAAGATTGATTTACACAGCAAGATCTGATACCTGTCAGTATAATAATAATAATACATTATATTTGTATAGGGCTTTTCAAGGACTCAAAATTGCTTTTCAATATAAGGGAAGGTTAGGGTGGGGGGTATAGCACTATCAAACTTGATCAACCGGCATGGATTGATGGGGGGTGGGCTATGAGTAGACAGAGGAGAAGAGATGAGTTTTGAAAAGGGACTGGAATACTGTGAGGGTCTCAGAATAGCGGAGATCTTTGCTTCAATATGTTCAAAATACATTTATCAAAATGTAAAGAAAATGTCTAAAATTATAAATAGTGAAAAAACAAATATAAAATATTTCTAATGTGAACCAAAATATAATACTAAATATTATACAAGTTGTTTTTCTTAACCAAAATGACAAAAATGGCATGAAAACACACATTATTCTAATACGGGTCCTTTTTGACCCACTTATGGAAGAGTGTAGGGTCCAGTCACTCGGGCATCTAAGGGTTAAGGCCTTTAAACCCAGACTCATCCTTTGCCTTAGCTTTCAGGGAAACCACTGAATATCTCTAACCCTGAGTTTGTTAGTGTTCCTCTGAGCTCCCATCTCCTCTACTCCTCCCTCTGTCCCTTCTAAAACGGATGTGCTTCTGTTTGCTATCTTATTCTCTTTGCAGGCATTCATATTGAAGCGGATATGTGTGTAGGTCATCCTTGTTTAACATTCATTTTATAGTGATGGTGTATTTTGTACACAAAACATACTGTATATTTCATATCTGTCCGTCCAGGGAGAGGGATCCCTTTCAGTGATTCTTCCATAAGTTTCTTCCATTTATTCAATGTTAAAGTTTATTTTGGTTCGTTTCTTCTTAACCAAATTCAGGGTCTATAAGGACAGAAGGTGTTGTAAAGATTGTTAGGCTAATATATGATGTGTGATATTGGACTAAATAAGAACATTGGCTTTAAAAAGTCAAATAAGAGCTAAACAAAACATGTTCCTGATTAGGAATTCAGATATCATGTCGTCCTCCAGGACAGATATTGATAACCCCACCAGAAATGAACATTATGTGACAAATCTTAGAACCAAAAACATCCACAAGTTTAAAAATAAATACTATCCTTGATGTCACTTTGGACTACTCCGTCCATCACGAGTGGGTGTAAAGCAGTGATTCCCTGTGATAAACACGTGTTGCTCCGATGGCATTCCTGGGGGCCTCTTTCACTCTCAGATAATTGCCGCTGCCTAGTGGACGAGGAGGTCGTGCCAAAGAGGACAAACACAAGCAAATAAGCGAATGCAAATATCCGCTTGAGTGAAAGTGCTCAATCTATGGTTTCAATAGGCTTGCGCAATAACTGCTGGCTGAAATCCAAGCTTGTTTACAAAAAATGACTCATTCATTATTCATTTCTTTCCGAGCATAGCAAAGGGGTAACGGTTTGTGGCAGCATTGTCTTTTTCACCTGTTTTAGATGTAGGTGAGCACAAATCTGGGTGTTGTAAATGATGTAGCTGCAAAAAGAGTTGTCCATCCCATAGAAACACAATGCACCCATTCATAATGTGGCATGAATGGATGCACAAGGAATTAGACTGAGGAGAAATGATTAGAAGAGTCAGTATCTGTACCACATTCTTTAACTCACATAGAAATGGCTCGACTTTGGTGAAAAGTAAAAAGAAGCTCATGTTTGATTTTCTTTTTCTTTTTTGGGGTGGTTATCATAGATTTATATTACATGGCCAAAACTATACAATCACTGCTTCATAGTTTGTGTTTTAGGCTGTTGAGGTGAAACACCTTAGATCAAAATGTACAGACATCTAAATGCTACAGTGTATACTTTACATGATACTACTTTACAGCTTCTGTTGACCAACATATAACATATCACATACATGAGTATGACCCGTGAATTGTGACTAATTATGATTAATAGACCTCAAAAGACAAAGGATTCCAAAAAGTGGTGGAGAGCCTTCGAGGAAATGAGGAAGCTGTTATCGGGGACATTGATGCAGCAAGGACATGTTCAACATTCACATGTGTGGAACATTTGGGTGTTTACATAGTTTATTTTCTTATTTGAATAATAACAAGGGATTTTACCGAATGGCAACGTTTTCAGGGTGGATTTTTTTCCTTTTCATTCAGGTATTTTGTCTTCCTTCTGTCTTTCATTGAATACATCCATCCTTAAATAAATGCATCTTTGTTGTTAGTTTTCTGGTTACATTTTGATGAAAATTATTTTAAATCAGAATACCTTGTCAATAAAGGTGTTCCTCTCTGATAGATCAAGTAGCTAAAGAAGTATTTTAATGAGTAGTATATAAAAAGGAACGGATGCTTTATAACACTTTAATATATTTGTAAACACTGTGTATTTTTCAATGCATTTGTCCATTATGCCAGCTTTGACCAGCCAGAGGTTGGCTGGTGTATAATTATAGGATCAACACAATAAATACATTAAAATGTAGTGTCAATCATATAAAGAATGTCTCCATAGAATTGCTGCTTACAACTACATTATACTGTAGTGTGAAAACTACACTACATGTTAAAGTATAGATGTTGATATCTTACATATTGGGGTTAAAGGCAATACTCCTTTTCTTTTTCAAAAGAAAAGACCACTTGAGATAAACCATTTCACTGCACACATTTGTTGTGTGATTGTCCTTGTTAACGGTTCCTTATTTTGTCTTCATAGAGAAACACCTGTCATCTTAGGACCATGCTGCAGAGTCTCACCTGAGTACGCAGCCAGTGTCTCGACATCACGTCCCCCAGGCCTGAGCAATAATCAATATCGGAAAACAGTCAGACAGCCATCAGTCATACAGCAGGATGAAGGAGTTGGCATGGCAACAGCGATGTCTCTCCCACCCCGGTGCCATTCCTTTGACTCTTGTTCTATTACTTTGTGCATCTCCTTAAACTAATGCGGTGTTTTTGTGCTTCTCATGAGCAGGTTTGCCTTTCCTTTAATCTGATTATTGGTAGGTGGACTGAGAAAAGCTCAGAGCTGAAGAAGTCTCCAGAGACGGAAAACCTGTTGCAGTATGGTTGAAGGGCTATTTGTATTAAAGCACATGTAAACCTCTTATAACAGACAGGAATAGAACCACCGTGAGCACAGGGGTGATTTGGTAATCCAGATATTTAAAATGTATGCATTATCCAGTTATCTTCTTCTTATCTCTCAGATAATAACAAGAGAGTAGACCGATCAGATATTATAAAATACATGGTCTTAATCCTGCTAATCAAAATGTAATTAAAAAATAAATGAAGGTATTCACTTGAAGGAAAACACCGACAAAGCAGAGCATTTTTAATTTAAAAAAAAAAAGTAATTCACCTGAATGGACAACATGTTTTTTGATGTGGAGCAAAGATTATTATGAAGTTCTTTAAACACTTCTCCTGAAAATAATTCTATTGTTCGTAGATAAATGATTTGGATGTACCTTGGAATATTCAGTACATTCACCTGTAAACACCTTTGCTGTATTGTATTTTTAAGCAAATCATTTTAAGTGTTTATTTCAGTATGGCATAAAAATCAATGCAGAACTTTGGAAATGTATATGTTTTTTTACATTGTTTAAAGATACACTGGATCACCAAAGCAGAACAGTGGCCCAGAACCCCATAGTTCACTGTGATGGCTTTATGAATGTTGATTACATGTCAATTTATGGAGGGGTATTTGCCACAGCTAAGGCAGGTCCTGCGTTATGACCTCATCATGCGGTTATCTTGTGTAATAACTGTCTAGTCCAGGTGCCCTTCAAATCACCTCTTAATCTGCTGGAATTTCTGCAACAGCAGCAGGACAAATAATGAGAAGAAAATGATACAGGTTAGCGTGAAAAAGTTAATAAAAGGTTGCATATACCTTAATTGATCACTAATGTAATAACCAACCCAGCGAGCATGCTAAGTGACCCAAATCAAACACCCACGATGCTCCTTGACCAACAGGTGCAGGTAATGTGCTAAATGCTGAAATACTCCTGGATTCTATTTTTTTCTATGCTAAAAGAGCCTCTCCCATCAGTGTGTATGTGTGTGTGTGTGTGTGTGTGTGTGTGTGTGTGTGTGTGTGTGTGTGTGTGTGTGTGTGTGTGTGATGACTTCCTGCTTTTAATGGACTGTTTTTATTATGCTTTGAGAATGATCAAGCAAAGCTGATTAAGGAGGAATATGTGCACGACTCACAGACTGAGTGGTGAGTTATGCACACTTATGAATGTGTCTCACATACAGGAACCTCAACAAGTGCTGTAGTAGCCAATGTGTGTTTGTTGCTGCAGCTGTGGGGAGTAAAATGATATAGATCATGGGAAAGGGATTCCCTCTATTTTTTCTTTGTCTTTTCTTTTTGTATTGTCTATATAATTGGTATCTGTGTATATAAGTCCCTCTGCAAGGGCAACAAAAAAAAACAATGCAAAGTTGGTCACAAAAAAAAAAGTAAATGTATGTTTGACAAAAAACATAGGTTATGAGTAAGTATTAATCATATAAAGTTGGTGTATCAATTATACAGTTAAATTGAGATCCCAGACTCATACTTGATAAAAGATATATTCAAATATTTGTTTTAAATCTCGTCCTTTACACGATCTTTCCGGTACTACCCCGGTTTGCCTCCGACGCTCGAAGGAACCTTCCTCTTGGTTCCGGCCTGACATTAGCAAACATGGCAGCAGAGGGAGACGTCGATTTGGACCTGGAAGTCGAGGATAACTGCACGGGGAAACCAGCAGAAAAGCCTCGCAAACATGACAGCGGAGCCGCTGACCTGGAGAGAGTCACGGACTACGCGGAGGAGAAGGAGATCTCCAGCTCCGATTTAGAAACGGTGAGAGCTCCGGGCTAACGCTAGCCGGGAAACATGCGGCCGCTGCCGGCTGCACTGTCGCTACATCCTCCCCAGCACATGTAATACAGCTGTTTAGTGCTATTATACCAAGGATTTGTGTCAAAGATATGTCCTTGGTGTTGTATACGTTTTTTGCTCGAGTCGAAACAACACAATTCTGGTGTAGAAGTGTAGTGAACTGCCTCCGAGCTAGCTAGCTAAAGCTAACGTTACTTACCTCTTTGCCTCAATGAGCCTACTTGTTAAAGGGACAGTAGTGGAATATAACAAGAACATTTAAGCACTGATGGTATAACACATTGAAGGTACTTGTACTTAACTTGAATATTTCCTCTTTATGCAATTGTATAACTCACTCCACTACATATCAGGGGTAAATATAATATTGTACTTTTACTCCACTGCATTTGTGTGACAGCTTTAGTTACTTTTCAGATTATTTATTTTCTTTATCCCATCATTGGCAATCCTTTAAATAATCCTTTGTTTGTTAAATTAAGCCAAAGTACTTGCATTTCTCAGCCCAGGTGTTTATCTTATTTTGTTACATGATTTTAGAAAGTAAAAAATCAGAGGTATCTTGTATGTATAACAGTGACATATCTACACACGTTTTAATCATTTTTTAATGATATGGTAATGGCCCAATATTTTTATTTTACTTGTAGTAAAATGTGCCAAATGTATCACTTTTATTTACTGGTGAAATATATGTTTGTGTTGAATATTGTTGTGTTTCTTTTTGTGGTAAAGTTGACTGATATTTTAAACAATGTTAAAACATACATTTATGAATAACAAATGTTTTTCTTTCAGGCCATGTCAGTGATTGGAGACAGAAGGTCACGAGAACAGAAAGCCAAACAAGAGAGGTAAGATTATTGTTGTATTTTTTTTTTTTTGACAAGATCAATGTTAACCCCGCAGTCTGTCCATCTGTGACAGCATCAGATTCATATTTCTCCATTTTGAGCAGTTCCTCTAGTATTCATCTCAAATCTGCAGCTCACTATGTGTTTCTTTTTCAGAGAAAAAGAGTTGGCCAAAGTGACCATCAAGAGAGAGGATGTGGAACTAATTGTAAGATTTTCTCTCAATATATCTATTTTGTTTCATTAATCTGTTTGGTCCACTTAACCACATGAACTAAACATGTTCATTAACCGTCCGTGAGCAATAATCTGCTGCTTTAACAGCCTTTACTCTCTAGGAAAGGTTTAATACAAGATTGTATATATTATGCAGCTGCATAATTTGTTCTTTCATGATACACAAGGGTGTGAAAATGTACTTTTGATCATTTGCATCTCAATTGGTTGCAAGTGTGTAGGTGTCATTTATTTGAATTCCAGACGTGAGTTGTTCTCCATTAAAAGCATTTTTATGATCAACTACAAAAAGCTCCTGCTCACCACAACCTGTCTGACCTCCTTCAGGAGTATACCGCCTCTGCTGGTCTGCTAACCATCCCGACCCCACCCCTCGTCACCATGGGCGCTCGGGCTTTTAGCTGCACAGGTCCCACACCTGACAGTCTGACAAAATCACCACATTCAAAACCCACCTATTCAAACGAGCCTTTTCACTGTCGTGCTCACCATCTGGTTCCCTGAATAACCTGTCCCTATCGTTTGTGTCAACTTGGATGTTCTCCTCTGATATCCTGTTTGTGTTCTGTGACTTTAAACTTATTTGAATATTTACCAAATTGTACAGTTTCCTTGGGTGTTATGAAAAGCGCCCTTAAATAAAATGTATTATTAACAATGTCTGATGAAGCACTCACATAGTTCATGTTGTGCCGTTATGTTGCAGATGTCAGAGATGGAGATTTCTCGGTCCGTGGCAGAGCGCGGTCTGAGGGAACACATGGGGAACGTGGTGGAGGCGCTGGTGACTCTGACCAACTGAACAGCTTTCACACACTGGACTGCTTCACTGCTTTTTCTTCTTCCACGAGACTGGATTGAACTCAGTGGTTAAACTGTGGTGGAAAAACCTTTACACAATTATTTTTCTTTTTTTTTAAATAAAAGTTAACCTGAGTACTTGTGACCGTAGTTAATACTTATTGTGATTAATGTGGGAAATTATAAAAAATGAAAAAAAACTAGTTTTATTTAAACACAAGCAAACCAAGTTACAATGCCTGTACTTTGAAACGAAAAGGTAACGCAGGAAGTCGGTACAAGGATATGCATACTGTCGACACTAGCTGATTTTTACAAAAACTCACTGTTGTAAAAAGGACAATAGAATTTACCAATATCTTCGTCAATCGTGTATTCCATTTTTACAGAGAAGATTCTGTATAATTGCAAATAGAAAACCTGCTTCATCTTAATTCTGGTTTTTGGAAACAATAATTTGAAATCATGGTGTTATTTCCTGGGTGAAGAACTCTTCATCAATATGATCAAAGCAGTGGAATCAGTCTATTTGCTGCTTTCCTTCCACAGCAAAAATCCAGGAGATAAACTCCGCAGGCTGTGCCTCTGAACAGTCTCTGAAGCTGAAGTCTTCGTCACATCTTAGGTCTTCCTCTTCTTCACTGTGGGCCGGTCGAACACGTCCCTCACGCCGGCCGCCTTCTGCTTGAAGAACTTGCTGTTCTGAGCGCTCTCCTGGGCCCAGGCCGAGTCGAAGGACGTCGTGTCCTGGTCCACCAGGTGGGTGTACTTGGTGCGTCCAGAGCGACCAAAGTTCTTGACCTTAGAGGGAGAGAAACCAGAACAGATCGAGTCAGAATAAAGAAACTCACCTAAATATTTCCTAAACAACATTGACAAGAATAGGAGCATCCATTTACAGAGGCACACTTTTTTTTTGTGTGTGTGTGAAACAAGCAGGTACAAATAATTATATATATTTGTGCATTTTGTTTAAAATGTTTCTTCCTCAAGAATTAAGACAAGGGGAAAAATCAAGAGTTTACATGGTATATGGCAAGTCAAATTAGGATTAAGACTTGCGATTGACTAACAAAATAAATATTTAAAAAAGGCAGGAATTTGCCAAATTCCCTACGTTCATAATTTAATCTAATTGATGTAAGATTTGTTATACTGTGGAGCAACAACAACATTGAAACTGTCAAGTTGGAATTTTGCCAATTCTATGTTTTTGCACCATCATACTAGGGCTGTCCCGGGCAGTAATCCGCAGCGAATATTCGAATGACGTTGATATTGGAGATTTCAATAACAATATAACAAAATAACGAAATTGAAACCCGAATAGTACTCCAACGAACAGATATTCGGGTACAGCCCTACATCATACACAAACTAAATGATTGACATTATTTTGTGTTACAACAACATTGTGTAGTGTAGCAGGTGAAATACAGTGAAAGCAGCTGACCTGCATGACTTTGGGGAGGATGGTTTTGTTGAAGTGATCCTCCAGAGTAGGCGCGCTGAAATCTCTCTTGTACACGTGCTCCTCCTCATCCTGTAACAGAAGTCATGTTAACAGTTCCACAACGCACTGCAACAAGCACAGCTCAAACTATACGATTGTAAATTAAAATAACTTCAACGAATCAAATGTTATAGTCGTCACATATTTATAATGGATACATTTCTGTACTGTCATTTGCAGTATGGGTCATCAATTGTCCCTTAAAAAAAGCTTTCTCTAAAACTAATTGGAGGTCAAATTGGTCCAATAATCTAAATGTTAAAACATATAGGTTCATCTGTAAAAATGATAATAGAACTATTCAACAACTTATTAACTAAAGTAATTACATCACTAGAATCTGAAAACTTTTCAAGGAGGTTATTCCGTACCAATACAGTTGCTAGAATATAAAAGTTTGTAGCACCTTCTTTAAATGAAATGAATAATAAAGGACAAAAAAGTAAAATCATAAATGGATAAATAGCAGTCAATGTACCTGTATGCTATTTGACAAAACTAGAGAAATGTAATGTTCGGACATCAGAAAATCACCCCTATCATTCTCTTCAATGTCCCCACTGGGCTTGAAAAGTGAAGAGTATTGTAAAGTACATCTTCTAGTGAAATGGTTCTGCTCTGTGTGTGACTCACCATGAAGAAGGCTCCTCTGTGGTAGTACTTCTGCAGGAACTTGTATTTTCCTTTGCTGGCTTTGTTGGTGACTTGCTTGCCGCTGTTGCGCAGCTCGGCCCGCCGCTCCTCCTCCGTCAGGTTGTGGAATCTCTCGATTTCGGCCTTCTCTTTCTCCATGCTGAGGACAGAACACCGCTCATTAGGAAAGTCCTAAATACACCATGTGATTATAAAGTAGTCATATCGTTGTTTACTCACACTTCTCGGGCCTCTCGGTCCCTCTTGATGCGTTTCAGCTCTCGGACTTTCCAGCCTTCGTACTCCTCCTCCTCATTTTCTCCGTCAGTGTCCAGACCTTCCAAAGCAGCCAGTGTGCGTCGGTTCTCCTCAAATTCCTTCTTTGCCTCCTCCTCCACGATCTTGAGGGTGTAGCGCCGCCGCTCCTCCACCTGCTTCTTGGCTTCGACCTCCAGCTCTTTCTGCCTCAGCTCCTCGGCCTCCCGCTCCGCCACCGTCACTCTGTCCTTCCTGCGGAGCAGACAACCAAAGAACACAGATTAATGATGGTCAAAACTCCATTTCAGTGTCGGATCATTTGCAAAAATTATTTCACTTATGTTTGAGACTCATTTTGAGAATAATATATGCAAAAACATTTTCCCATGTCATGCCTTTCCGGTTATTACCCATCAAGGTTTTTCTGCATGTAAACGGTCTGCAGAGTCAAAAACCCTTAAAGTACACCCTGTAGCGAGTAAAACTCTAACACAGAAAAGACCTGTCTCTGCTGCCCCAGAACGCCTCGTTGGAGATTTTTACTTTTTCCATTTTCTTCTACCTAGGTATGGTGACGTAACCATACCCAAATGGACCAATTGGTCCAAATGGACCAATCCACGGAGCCGTTACCTTACGTCCGCGGAGCCGTTACGTTTGGACCAATCCGCGGACTTCCTCACACACAATCTTTTCTCAGCTGCAGCTCCGCGGATTTCTCAGCCAGGCTGCGGGTGTGTGTGCTCGGGCTGGGTTTCGCTGTGTCTCACTGTCCGCTCTTCGCAGCAGCGAGCCTTGCAACGTCCCCCCAACACGGCACCCAGACCCCACGCAGCATTCTCATCTAATTGTCCTTACTGGTGTCATTTCCTGGTTGCTAACAAACGCCATTGTAAAACATAAACACTGATGTTCCGCTGTAACGGTGGTGGATTCATCAGAACAGAGTGGGCGAGCTGACCAATCAGAGCACAGTGGGCTCATAGGGAGGGGGGGGGGGGGGGGGGGCAGGAGCTCCAACAAGGCGTGTAGGACAGAGAGTGAATACACATACTATACAGAGATGCTGTATGAGAAACCAATGTGAGTTTGGAACATTGAACAATGTAAATCTATTCCAGTAGACCTCAACAGTGGAAATATGATCAGTAGAAGTGGCCATGACATGGGACCTTTAAGTTTGGACCTGGATCCAATTTTCTGTTTTTCATCCGACACAAGCCAGTATCATTAACATTTCTGACTACCAAAAAGGGAAATGCACTACAGTATCCGACTACAACAACGGTATATCACTTAAATTAATGCATCTCTTTTATGAATATTCTGTATTTACTTGACCTTACCCTTCAAGTCAAACAATGAAAGTGAGATGTTTGTGGTGCTAAAGCCGTAAAGTGAGATCACTGAGCTACAGTCAGGAGTTAAAGGCACGGTGGTTTCACTGCATACTTGCGAATGAAGACAGGTTTGAGCCGTGGCTCGGCTTCATCCTCGCTGTCTGTGTACTCTTCGTATTCAGACTCGGACTCTGACTCAGCCCCCGACTTCCCTTCCTCCTCCACCTCCAGCACCTCTACGTCGTCACTCTTCCGTTCAGTGGCGCGCTGTCGCATCATCTGTCGCCTCCTCTCAATTTCCTGATCACAATGAGAAAGTCTGCTTTAAAAACTTTTCTTGAATTAGGAAATTGTTAAGTGACTGTGATAAGCCACTCATGTTTTGTTCAAATTAAACGGCACAAAAGAAACCTACTTCATCATCCACTTCTTCCTCTTCCTCCTCTTCTTCCTCGCTACTCTCCTCCCGCTCAGGGTGCCATGTGCCTTCATCAGAGTCCTCGCTGCTCTCGGCCACAACTTCAGGCTCTGCGATCTGTCTGTGTCTAGCGAGTCTGAGGACAAAGAGAAGGGAAGCAGCGTGTTCAAATGAGTTTAAAATCGAAGCAACATTTAAAATTCTTAACAGTCAAAACAAACGACGGGTTACCTCTCCTCCACGTCCTCAGACACACGGTTGAGCAAGCGTTTGAGACGTGGGTCGGAGACATCCTCTTCCTCCAGCTCCGCCTCGGCCTCTGCTTCCTTTCCCTTCTTAACAAACTGAAAGTCCTCTTCTTCCTCATCCGAAGACTCCATTGGCGCATAGTCAGGACGTTTACCCGACACGTACCTCTTCACCTTCACCTTCTCCATGGACAGCTCACCTGGGAGAAGCAGAGACAACGGTGAGCTTAGACAACCCTGATGCTGCTGAGGGTGTTTCCGAAGAAACCTCTGAAGTTGGGCCGAATGTCTTTGAGATAAGCGTTTGATACCGTCGATCATCGCATCTTAAAGCAGAGGCTACTCAGTATTGGCATGTCCAGCCATGCAGTGGGTTGGTTTGTGAACTACCTCTCTGAAAGGTCCCAATGTGTTCACTTTGATGGGCTGTCTTCTGAGTGGTTAAACATTGCTAATGGTGTTCCCCAAGGTTCTGTTTTAGGTCCACTTTTATTCTCCATATATATCAACAGTTTAGGTGAAAATGTGAATGAAGCTACTTTACATTTTTATGCGAACGATACCGTGATGTATTGTGCAGGTCCCTCCATTAAGGAGGCTGGTGTTAAATTACAGGCTGTTTTTAACATTATTCAGACTCAGCTTGCTGAACGTAAGCTTCTTTTAAATGTTGATAAAACCAAGGTAATGCTCTTTTCTAAAGCTAAAAAGACACCAGAGCCTGTTTTAGATATTGTAACTACGCAAGGACAAGTACTTGAAGTGGTTACCTGTTACAAATACCTTGGTATCTGGCTTGATGATTGTCTTACTTTTAAACTTCATGTCAATAACCTGCTTAAAAAGCTGAGGGTTAGACTAGGTTTCTTTTTCAGAAACAAGTCCTGTTTCTCTTTTGAAGCCAGGAAAAGGCTAGTCACCGTGACCTTTTTACCTGTGCTGGACTATGGTGATTTGTTGTATATGAATGCACCTGCCTATTGCCTGAACAAGTTAGATGCCGCCTATCACAGCGCCCTGAGATTTGTCACACTTACTCATCACTGTACCCTGTATGCCAAGGCAGGTCTGCCTTCACTCTCTGTACGGAGGCTCAGTCATTGGTACACGTTTTTTTATAAAGCTTTGTTGGGTAAACTCCCGTATTATAGCTGCTCTCTGATAACACAGAGAGTTGCAAGCAGCTATTGTCTGAGATCGCATGATGTAGTATTGTTAGATGTGCCAAGAGCAAGGACTGTCTTAGGTAAGACAGCTTTTATGTGCGCAGCTCCACTTGCTTGGAACAGTCTTCAGCAAGAATTGAAACTGAGCAATCTCATTCCTCTGCATGTTTTTAAAGCTAGGCTAAATGAAATGCTCGTTGATACTATGGGCACTTGTACATGTCTATAACTATGTAAATGTATCCTGTAAATACAATGTATAATGTCCTTTATTGTTTTATGTTTCATGTGGAACCTGTATGCTGCAGGTCTCCCTTGAAAAAGAGATCTATGATCTCAAGGGACCAATCTGATTAAATAAAGGTTTGAAATGAAAATGAAATGAGATCTTCACAACACTATGTTAACACTTATTTCACTTTTAAAAAACTCTCATAATCTCCATCCCTTAGCATTACACCGTTAGTTTCGGACTCAAGGATCCAATCAGCAGGACATTTCACAGATAAGCAGTTAGCGTATGTGTTCCTGAGCATGTATGCTGTCAATGGCTAGGGTTGTTATTTAATCTGTCCCATACACAACATATCCCACAAGGGAGTAGCTTTTTTTTTATTGAATCTACTTTTTGGATTGAAATACTTTAATTAGGGGTAGAAATGTAACATCTCTGCAAGCACACTTTCTTTGTCAGGTTTAGAGGGATTATTCATTTCATTCAAATGTCTTTTTTGGGATGCACTTATCAGGTTTTGGAAGCTGCCACTACAATCCAATAGGAAATATTGAATACTTCTTCCACCAACTTCCTCCATAACTTAACTGTTCTACTTTGACAGCAGCTTACATCCCATCCCATACTTTGATCTTCTCCATTATTTTCCCCATGAATCCCGGACAGTTAAAATGTGTTTATTTGAAGGAGCAATCCAATCAGCCAGATGCTTCAACGAAAAATATCTATTTGTTTGTAAGTAAAAGACTACAGGCAATATGGACATTTGATTCCAAGGCTCATATTGCTGGGTTTGAGGCTATGGAGGACACATCTGGACCCCGAAAACAACGTAGTAAACTTAGAAGGAAGAAAATGCCAAGACTTTTGGGTAATAAAGAATAAGTTGCTAAAGCTTTATATAATGTATCTGTCGTTGAGATTGAGCACATCATACGATCATACTTTTACATTATGACAATGTTATGATTCCTGTCTCCACGTGTAAATTGCACATCTTAAACTAAAAACTACTAAAATAAATCATAAGTATCATCAATCAGTAAGTATGTGTTATCTGCTGCCTGTTTTTTTACTGTCAGAATCAAGGCAATGTCATTTCTATAGCCCATTATCACAGGCATCTCAAGGATCTGAATGTTTCTTCCATCACTGATTTGTCGTACATAATGTATGACAGCAGTAGTAAGTGTTGTTCTGCTGTGGCATTTCAAGTTTCACTACGTTGCCAAGAGTAGCCTATGTGGACCCACTGACACACATCACGCTAATATGTGACTGTTTTGGCCTCTTATTATGAAACAACAAGTTATGAAAGGCTGCTGAATTATCTCCTACTTCTTCGTAACATGAACCGTAGTTTACTATTAAGTCCACCTAACGTATTTATGATTCTCTTTTAATTGTTTCACACAGACTTTTAGTGTTATTTGTGTGAACAGTTGCGTTACGCTAAGCTAGATGGCTAACTTAGCATGCCGCTAGCCGCCTGCTAGCTAACGGCCAACATCTCACCTTTCTCATTCCGGACCGGCACGGCTCCGGCCGTGGACTGGATCGGAGGGAGCTTCATGTCGTGGGTTTCGCGACTAGACATGACTGCCTGGTCGAGGGTTTCAATTGATTAAGGGTACAAATAAGTATTTAACTTGAAAGACCAAACGAGCTATCCGTCGCTTCAGTCAAACGGAAGTTAACTCTCTGAGAAGCAAGCGGACAGGAAGTGTATCTGTTCTGACATATATTTCCTACCGATGAGAAACAAACAGCCAATATCCACAGGTGTATAAAGACAACAATAATAACGCCAATACCGTTTATTACTGATCAGTAGTTACAAATATATCCAAATTGAACTTGTGAAAAAGTTGATAACATATGGTTTATGCTAAATTTAGATATTCTGCAAATCAATAATAGCCAGTCTATATAGCGTATAATACCGCCCTCTAGGGGCTGATACCTTGGCTAGTTATTGAAGAATTTGGTTGGATGTTTTTTTTCTTACTTACACTTTTATATATGTTAATTGTATTGTAAAAGTGACTGAACCTGTGTGTGTTTCTCTAGCAAAACTAAAAATATTACATTCTTTAGCTGACAATTATTAATACTAATTTATACTGGTATAAAAATATAAAATCTTCGGCACGGTACAAAAAGCCAGACCACCAGACTCCACCAGAAAAACCACCAGACTCAGAGACAATTTCATTCCACAGGCCATCATTTCATCTTACTGTACAATATTTAATTTCATATTCTGCCCTTATATATATTTATGGGTCATTCCAGAATTTGAGGACATTTCATGTCCCCCATATAAAAAATCTAATAATCCATGCCCAAAATGCTAAAACATGCACTTGTTGTGTTAAACATACTTGTCTTGAGACAAAATGTATATAAAGTTGTAGAAAAAGTGGTTTCAAAATATTATTTAAATGATCAAATAGCTCTCGAACATCCCCTAAAATAGCATTTTTCTCTTGTCCCTGCTTCTTGGTGACCAACTTGCATGTCAAATATAACATTTAAAATAGGGATTTTATTTACTTTTTTTGGTATTATTCTATTGATATATGTCTCTTGTAATGGCAAAATAAATTAGTTAAATCATAAACATATTTTAAATAACAGTAATTTTGCACAGAAGGTGTGTCCCTCAACATGCGTTCAACCCTGTTACCCAAACGTTTTTAGATAGGCACAGGAAGTGAAAAAACTGTAAATCAGATGACACAGTGGAAAGGACATCAGCAAGCCATGTGCTTGTGCCATGGGTAGACCAAAACTAAGTCCTCTCTTTTATTTTTCATATTTTTACAATCTTTTCAGTCTTAAAAGAGTGTGGCACTCTGACCCACTCAACCCTGTTACTGATATTATCAGAATAAAGCATATTCATTTAAAAGTTATCTTTCTTGCATTAGATATCCAAGTTTGTCCTTGCCTTGAAAGTAGCATTACATGCTACATCTAGCAATAATTCCTGAGGTTAAAGCTCAAATTAGCATTGATTTTCAACCCTGTTACTTTCAACCCTGTTACTATAATTAGAGTAACGGGTAATTCTTCATTGGAAAATATACATTTGATGCCTAGCTTGGCAAATCACTTTTTTTGATGGTTTATTATCTGTTTTTCCTAAATACATACAAAAAATTATAAAATAAAAGGTTCATTTTTCAAAAATTATGGTGTCTAAATTGTCCTCCAATTCTGTAATGACATATTCTATGTACGTGTATATAGACCTTTTCTTGCACTATATATTTATTTGTAGGGTCTGAGACCAGAGGTCGGCAAAGACCCTATTGTAATCGCTACGCATGTCTAGGGTGCGGAGACGAACAAAAAAGCCACTTGGAGGGGTATAAAAAAACGTACAGGAATTCGGCCATTTTGAATTTGGCGTCGAATTCGTCCTCCGTACTTCAACGAACTCCTCCTAGAGACTTCATCCGTTAGACTCCAAATTCGTCGGGTAACGTCTCGAGACATGGGCGAAAAAACGATATCACGCAACTTTTTTTTCCCCGTGATTTGGCGCCAAAGTTTGCGTTCGCTCGATGCTAGGCGATCCCTCGCCATGGAACACGATGATGTCATAACTCCAACTGACATGCTCAGAACGCCACCAAACTTCACATGATGGTTAACACTGTGGCTCTGAACAGCTCTACATAAAATCTGATATTACCATGACAACACATCCTTCGCCATAAAACACGATGTCGCTGTAACTCCAATGGACACTGGCCGATCGTCCCCCAATCTTCACTTGTATGTCACCGATCCATGCCTCAACGTGAAATCTGAGATCTCACCATATGCCGTTTCCATGGCAATGCATCCCTTGCCAAAAAACATGATGTTGTCGTAACTCAATGGAAAATCGTCCAAACGGCACCAGACTTCAGATGATGGCTAATAGTCCAGCCCTGAACAGATTTATGTCCATTATGGGGTGTCATCATATGCCATGGCGACAGATCTCTCGCCATAAAACACAATGTCGTCATAACTCAATGGAAAATCGTCGTAACGGCACTAGACTGCAGATAATGGTTAAAGGTCCGGCCCTCAACAGCTCAATTATGGGGTGTGATCATATGCCATGCCATGGCGACAGATCCCTCGCCACGAAACACGGTGCTTTCGTAACTCAAAGGAAAATCGTCCAAACGGCACCAGACTTCAGATGATAGCTAATGGTCTGGCCCTCAACAGCTTTATGTCAATTATGGTGTGTCATCATATGCCGTTGCCATGGCGACAGATCCCTCGCCACAAAACACGATGTTCTCATAACTCAATGGAAAATTGTCAAAACGGCACCAGACTTCAGATACTGGTGAATGGTCCGGCCCTGAACAGCTCTATGTCAATAATGGGATGTCATCATATGCCGTTTTCATGGCAACGCATCCCTCGCCATGAAATACGATGTTGTCGTAACTGAATGGGAAATGGTCCAAACGGCACCAGACTTCAGATGACAGTTAATCGTCCGGCCCTCAACACCTCAATATGACTGTAAGAGAATATTTTAATCTGATCTGTTTATAGAGCTTCTTATTGTTTTATAGAATCTGTGATACTGCAAACATCTGCTTGTAGTCAGTCAAAGACTCCTGTGTAAGTTGAGGTCACAGGTCAAACGCTTCTCCCATATCCTGTGGGGGGAAGGTTTCAGGCTATCTGCATCTCTTGAGACAAGTAGTTCATTGTCTCTCATCGGCTATTGATTAGGTAAACGCGGGCTTTCTGTGATCCCGCCTTTCCTCATGTTGATGCGTGTTGGGTCTATTCTGGGGCAGAGATAATCTTGGTGGAGCACAAGGACAGTGTGAAACTAAGATGATCTCCCGGCCGTATGTAATTAATGTACTGTGATCAATAAACTCTTAGTGCTTTGGCTAATCGACGTTCCAGACTCCTTCATTCTACCTCAACATTGCAACAACAGAAGTTTACCTTCACAATTGGCGTCTACCGAACAGGATACCGAGATTTCTTCAGAAGACTGGTAAGTGCTTTTTTTCAAATCTATTTGAACAACTGCCTTACCAGACTCTGTGATTGACGGTATCAAAATTATCTGTGAAACTGCGCGAGTGCAATTTGTTTTGGTCTCTCCACTGTACATTTGAAGGCTTAATCATAACCTGAGGAATCGGTGTCGAGGGGATTTTATCCTGGCCGGTTCTTCCTGTGATTGCTGCTGGGGCAAGTGCCAACAAAAGCAAGCACAGCTCATGTATAAAACAATAAGAATATTTGGGGCTAATAAATAACCTCGGAACATCGACTTTTAACGATTTCCGCTGTGTGTGGTTTCTAGAATTAAATTACTGGACAATCACACACTGCAAATATTCGGAGAGACCTTAAGGAAAGCATCAGCAAGGTGGAACCTCTGTTTTCAAAAAAAAAAGCAATGTGAGGATTTGTAATTGAAACAAATTGCCGAATTCTGGAGATTTCAACGGGTTTAAATCAGACCAATCCGTTTTCGGGTGTCTGCTCAAGCCTGCACGAGGGAGGGCGAATTCCACTCCCCCCTGTGGTGAACGGCACACGAGGAATGTTTAAGAACACAGACTTGTATTTTCTGTTAATCACACCATAAGCTCAAGAACTAAATTGAGCTATTAAATGGGAAGGGTCGTGGCAGAATATTACATTCACACTGTTTAATAAACTAACGGATTATTGAATTGGCTGTTGTTTAAAAAAACAAAACAAAAAAAGTACTGAATTAATTAAAAACAATCGCTGCTCTCGGTCGGTTGAGCAGTTTTACCACTACATTTGCATAGTGGTTTTGATTGAGAATAAGGTAGTTTATTGCTCATCAACAGATTAAATATGGCTGAGAAGAGCCCATATTAAACAGATATTTCAGTGCTCCCGTTGACGTTTCCGTAATTTCGGACTAAATTAAACTGGATGATTTTTTAGGCCAGGGCACTGATTTTGTTGCGAGTACATGTTTGTTTGTCTAATTGCAGTGTTTGTTTTTATTGTACTAACCGTTAAACATGGGTAATACTGCCTCCACAAACGATTCAGTTGGTAAGAGGAAAACCATTTCACGCACAAAGACACTTAAAAAAAACCCAATTGCAGAAAACCACTACACGCATTTGTTTTCTCCAAACATGCCGTCTGGAATTGTCGGAAAAACTTTGGATTGGTCTAAAGTTATGCCGTTTACATCGTTACTTTGCGAACACTCACAACAGATTAATCAGAAAGGATTGATTCAATTTGATTGGCCTCTGACAGGTAGTTTTGATATGGCCGTGTTGTGGCAAGCATTTAAACTGGTGGAAGATAATTCAAATTGTTCATGGGATCAGAAATACATGACAGAATGTGTGAAAGCCTGGATGACTTTGGCAGAAAAAAGGGGTTATGAGGAAAGGAAGAATGCAAAATCTGTTGGCAGCGAGCGAGGCTCCATTGAGCTCAAGGCGCTGATTGATAAAGTTTCTCAATGTGCAAAAAGTTGTCATTTGCTTAGCCTAGAGGCTGCTTTTGATGTGAGATCAGAAAACATGTCCAGATTCAGGGAAAGACACGGTGAGAATGTTCCAGACATTGCAAAATCCATAATTTATGATTGGATTAAAAGACAAGGTAAAACTCCAACCCCATCTCAGCTCATTTGTATTTTGACAGACGCAGGGCTGTTGGACGGA